ATCATTACTGTTTCATTAGAAACACCGACGCAGCTCACACTAGTTTTTAGCTAGTTTTATCTTTTCATCCTACATGTAAATTGCTCAACTCAGTAGCTGCATTCTGAAATTTGGTATTTCGCTGCCACCAGTCAAAAACATGAAAGGTACCGAAGCTGATTAGTTTTGATTGATGGTGACGAAAAACCACTGAAATTTCAGCATGTAGCTTGTAGCTACTGAGTTCGCATGTTTATGAAAAATGGCAGTAATGCTTTGTGGTTTGGTGCAGGTCAGCAGCAGTACCATGGCCCATTAAAGACATCACAACAGGTATGTTACATAGTTGATGTATTACTGCTTTAATTACCAGTTATTCTTTTAGAAATGATATTATTCATAATGTTGAATGAATCTTCTCAACCACTAGAAGGAATGTGGACTGAAACGTTAAAACATTTAATTCAAACTAAGCAGGTTGAATGTTGAGCTTTAGAGTGCAAATAATATACCCGTGAAATAGTTAGGATGAGATAGGAGATAGTTAGCACTTAATTAGACAAAACATAGGAATTCAGTGAGGCATGACAAGGGCGTGCGTATTTACAAGAGTAACATCCCAATACACAAATGAATAGATACGAAAATGCGAACATATCAAATTATACGAAGGAAAAGCATATACAACAAAATATTGTTTCAGTTTTTGTAAGTATGTTTAAAAATACTTAAAAATGCACCCCCTTGAGCACACGTGCACTAGTTTACCCATCATGGCTCGCCTATTTTAACTAATTAGACAAGTTAGGCAACCAAAGATTAGTAATTAGTTAGCTAGCTATCTATTTCACGGGTATGAGTGCAAACAATATAACCGTGAAACTTTAGTGATACTAAATAGCACAATTTCATGCAAATTCAATTGTTTTCTATTGTTTAACTAGCACTATTTTGTACTATTTAGTAATTAGTGTTTCATGGATTTACTGTGGTCACTCATATTATTTGCACTCTACTATTTTTTAAACAAAAAAATAAAAATATACTGTATATACAGCTGTATATTAAAAGAAAAGATTACAGGAGAGAGAGAAATGTCATGAAGAATTCTGAGGGACAAATACCTTATTTTGGGAGGTAAAACATGACCTTTTTATACAGATTACGAGTATTTTACTCTTCCTTATATTTCATCGTCTCTTTAATATATTTAGAATAACTTGGAGAAGGCTGAGTTTCTTCTAAAACAAGGTCTGTGTGAAGATGAGAAAGACAAGCATACAGAGGCTCTTCCTTTATACACAGATGCAGTTCAACTGTGCCTTGATATTGTAAGTTATTAAACTATATACATAGCTTAAGTTTTATAAGTTTTTTTTTTTTTTTTCTTTTTTTTTCTTTTTTTTTTTTTTTTGACATATCAGCTCAGTCTGTGGATATTTTCTGGGACCAAGCATTTCTCTTAAATATATTATTTGTCTATCATTATTTTATCTTCAGAGTAAATCTTTGCCTGATAGTGATCCCCTAAAAGCACAATTCAATAATCTTGCCAAGAAAGCTCTGGAAAGGTAAAAAACAACAACTATGAAATTAAATATGAACTTTCTTCTCATTTCCTGCTAATTTCTCATAAGTTGTTAAGATATAAAATTTATTCAGAGAGCACTTAGTCTTATTACCCCTCATGTCCATAAAGGCTTCGAACCATCACGTAATGGCAGCCATGTCAATAGGAGGCAGAAGCAATATTGAATCTCGTATAATCTAGTTTACTTGAGAAAAAATTCAGTTTCCCAGTGGGTAAAAAGACTATTGTTGTGCCTCCTGTCTTTGTACTACCTTGCTCTTTGCCAGTCTTCTTTATTTACTATATATCATCTCCCTGCATTAGCCACTGTCATTCTGACAATGGCATCCTCCAGAGATGCTGAAACTGCGAGTTTAGTAAAATTGTATATAATTTATTTATTAACTTTTTCTAGAGCTGAAGACATCAAACGGATGCAGTCAACTGGAAACAAATATGTTGGGACAGGTAGCAATGAGGGAACTTCAATCACTAGAGCTGTAGCAGGTTTGAACTTTACAGAGAACAATTCCACATCTCAGGGGAAACCAGACAAAGGAAAACCCAAGTACACTCCAGAAGAAATAGCTGTGTTAAGGTAAGTGATAAGAACTCTTTATGAATAATGGTTAAAGATATTCCTGCATACCAAGAAATTAATGGATCCAAGATATTTTTGTCATGAGGGGAGGCAGAGGGGGCATGCCGAGAACATGATTAAAGCATGATTTATACTAAACAGATTAAAGTTGATCAGAGAAATGTTTCCAAACTGAGATAAAACTGAAAATAATTTGCTTGCCTTTACCATTTATCTTTACTCCCCCCCTCCCCCCCCAAAACAAAAGACAAAACTAAAGAAATGTTTATTTTGCCATCTTTCGATGGAGCATTTATGAAATTGATACAATGTAATTACAGTAACATATCCATGTACCTTTGTGTATTATTTCTCAAATAATAATTATTTGATTATTAATAATTATTATAATTTTCTTTTTGCAAGGGTAACGTCCAAGATAAATGGAAAAATGTATGTTCCTTGGAATGATATTGACCTGAAAGAGCGCTTTGCTTATCCTGTCTGTTTCACGTAAGTCAACTTATAGCTCAGTACGAATAAAAAAGTTTAAATTTAATTACAGTAATACCTATATTACTGTGCGGATACTCCAACCAGGACCACTTTAATAAACTAGTATCATTAACCAATCATATTACAACATTTACTTCTGATCAATATTTTCAACCAGCCAATCAGATAGCACATCGATATAAAACATCAGAATGTAATAATCTGATTGGCTAACACCGTTATCAGATCAGTCTCTGTCTAGTTTACTGTTATCTGATTGGTCAGTTTTATTCAAGTGGTCAGGGTTAGTGTGTCCGCACAGTAAGCGAACACCTTTCATTAAACAGAAAGCTAGCTGCATGGCCCCAAAATTTTCTTCCCATTTTACTTTCTTCTTGGGCTGTGAATTGAGTCGATCCCCCTCAACCCAAAGGAACAATGAATTCAACTACCAGGGAAATTTTATAACTCTTCTCTGTTCAGCAAACACCCTTTATGAAAGTGCACCTACACTGTAAAGCTTGAGACGACACAGTACTTTCAGTAATGATTCTACACGAAGTGAATAGTTAAATGGTAGTTCAGAAATATGGGTGGTGTGCACTGCTAATGCATCGTCTTTCACTGCTGTGAGTCCACGTAAATTGAGTTTGTTTGATGTGTTGTTCTCTCCTGTGCCACGAGGGTTTTTTTCTGGGTTCTCGGGTTTTCCTCCCTCCGTAAAAATCAACATGTGAGTTGAGCGTTGTGTGCAAAAAATAGTAAATGTAGTGATAGTGAGTGTGAGTGCAAGCAGGCCCACATCAGCAAAAGTTGCCAAAATAATCAGCCTGCTCTAACAAATAAAATGTTAAATAAAATATTTCTTTCTAGGTCCCAAGGTTGTCTAGTTCACTAGCTACAGTAATAAATTTATTAAATTTTCCTTAATTTTGAATGATCGTTTTTCTTTTTCTAGGGACAAGGATGGTCCTCTTGCACTTTCTCCTAAGCAAAGAAGTAATTTTGAACAGTGGGTCAGGTTTGTTAAGGATGAAATTATTTTTTGCTTCACTGGTATCAGTAGAACTTTGTTTTATACACACACCAAAAAGAAGTGTTCACTAGAACAGCTGCACTGGTGGTAATGACAATTTCCATGCTGAAGCCAGTTGAAGTTTTTAAAGTAGAGCGAGGACAACTATGACCTCTACCTTAACAAGCCTGCCAGCCTGCCAGTCTGCCAGGCAGCCTGCCATCCATCCATCCATCCATCCATCCATCCATCCATC